AGGGATATAAAAAAAAAATGTGATTTCTTGGACTGCTTTTTGATTACCCTTGAAATTCGCAGAACTTTGATCGAGCGTGTAATACGGCGCTTCCATTTCATAATTTTGCCTCAGGATTACTTTTTAATAGAAATATTTGTATGCTTATTTTCATTTTTTTTTTTTGCTCTTTCCCCCTTTTTTTTTGTTTTTTCTTACTTTGAGTGGTTAAAAAACGTGGAAAAAAAAATGTTATTTTTTGTCATTTTCAAAATAAACTTGTTGCTTGCAGCGAAATAATCCGCCAAATGACCGATCATTTTGACGAGGATTCAGGCGATTATCCGCTGATGATGGCCGGACCGCAGTGGAAGCGATTTAAACAGGCGCTTGCGGATTTCGTTATGGTACAGTTGTTGCAAATAGCCACTTTTTAAAGAGCTTTGAGGAAAATGGAAAAATTTGCGGGAAATTTGAGTGGGTGAAGCTCGATTTTTGCAGATGCTGGTGAACAAATGCAAATCCAGCTATGTGTTCGATCAACGCCTCATGGACGGTGTTATACAGCTACTCACTGGTCTGGCGGATAGTCAAGTGCGAGCCTTCCGACACACTTCAACTTTTATAGGTTCGTTTACCCATTCAGGACAACAATCCTTGGAAAAGTTCCTGGCCCTGGTTACTACCCTCTTCCATTCCCTCACAGGGCCTTTGAGGCCCGTACTGCCTTTTACCTCCTTGATTGTGCGTTGATGCAGTTGAACAGAGCCTAGAAAACTGCTGTATCAGACAAAAACTTTGTTCAGGTGTTAAAAAATACCAGTTTTTTTGTGCTGCAGTAAAAAAATTCAAGCAAATTTGGTATATTTTCAAAGATTCGACATGGAAAAAGTGTATTTCCAAGCAAAATTTATCGTAAGATATGAAAAAATATGGCCGTTGCTTTTCTTCATTTTGGCATCAGAATTTTACTCTCGCTTTCGATCTGCGTGATTTATTTAATCAAAAAATCAAAAACTTTTTCGTATTCATTCTTTTTTCGAGAAACAGAGAAATAGAAAGGGAAGAAGGGGCCATGGAGACGCACACAAAAAGTAGTCATTCCGAATAGGAATGTCAGGGTTGTGGTAGATGAGGGGTAATAATTTGTAGCTGTAGGTAGGCCGAAGAATAACGTTAAACGCGAGCTAGACTAGCCAATGTGATCATGCGTTTTGTGCAGTTCAGCCCATCGAACGATTGCCTATTAATGATTTTCACTGCTTTGTACTTTAGCATATGCAAAAATAGTTCAAACATCGAA